TCAAAGACAGATGATGATTTTTCTACTAACTCTACTAGAACTTAATCTAAACTAGTGGTTTGCTTAAATTTAATCTGCGTAGAATCACAAACCTATTCCAGATTTCTATGCTTAATTTATACAACTTTCGTCAAAATCATTCTAGCAACGTTACCATCTTCGTGGAAACCACAAAAGTACTGCTAACAATTAGACAATGTTTAATCGAATCAACCAAGACAGTCCACGTACGTAGAGTGACTCAAAACATTGATCGAAAGTACTCGGATCTTAGACGAAATTATCTTTACGGATACAATTACGTTACACAAATTAACAAGAACGAAAAGACTGCAATTATCGAACCATTTGTCGTAGTTTATACTTTAAGCTGAATTACAAATTAAAAATGTGATCAGCTCGAAAACTGGAGGAAAAGCTGACACACGACAGACTAACTTACGTCCACTTTTCGAACAGCGTCTGTTAATTTCTGTCAGCGACGCATTAATTAATAAGTGAGAGATGGTTTGGCCACTCACAAACGCATTCAATGTTTCAAGTCACGAAACAAAACTTGATGTGTACTCTAAAGAATAATTCGACATTCTCTTTACCTTATTTCGAACATCCTGCGAAAAGATTTATCAAAATTTTCTAAAAATGAGTCAAGACAGTATCAAAGGAAAATAAATGGCAAGATCTCGAAGGCGAAACATCGAAGATGGAGCGAAATTAGCCATCGAGGCTCGCGCCTCATGACGAAGCAGTCTCTCGCGAAAAGATCTGATAGTTTTGTTCGGCAGAGTGCTCGTCTTATCCCCGAGGACAGGAAGAAGGAGGTTCCCGGGACGATCTTATTGGCCCTTCTTCAAAGAGGCAGCCAGTTGCTCCCTCGTGATGGCACAGAAGGGGAAAAAGATGGTCGAGTTGAATTAATTCCTCAACTATCGTTCCTCCGGTCCTTCGTTACGCCGGTTACGGACCGACTTGAAATGTAATCGCTGCTCCTCGCTCCTTTTCATCCTTTTCCGCTGGCGGCACTGTCGGCTCGAGTGTTTGGCTGCCTGTTCCTCGAGGATTTATCTGGCAACATGCTTTTCTTCTCCCTCCATCTTCCTCCTTCTTCTTCAGCGAATAATTTCACGACGTTGCTGGATTTTCAAATTTGACGAAAAGGTTTCATATTCGACGATTGATCGGTTTAAAAAGCTTTGTTGTTTAAATGGCGTTCAGTCTGGTTATCTTTCGGAGGGATCGATATTCTTCAATTTCTTCTTGCGGCTTACTCTTTACGCGAGACGCTTATTTCGTATATTTTCTTCATAGTACTCAGTCCCCAGTCTCTGTTAATACTTCTAGTAACATCACGATCATTTTAATACCAAACTGAATAAATCCCCTACAAATTCAAGTTTCTGCAAAGGAGATTCGACCACTGCCCAAGCCAAATTATCGACGAAACCCTCGATCCGCGAAAAAACCACGACCTAACGCGTCTTTTGCGTTCCACTGGTACGTCAATCGAACGGTACTCGAATCAAACCAGCAGCAATTTCTGCTGTCGTTGGAAAAGAAAGCGAACCACGCTCGAACCTTCGCACCACTCCACGTCCACCCAATTCCCTGTCAAATCCTCGACTTGCATCGCATCGAATATTCGCCTGACTCTAAAAGAGGGATCTAAGGGGCCGGTAGATTTCGTATGATTTTTAATAAACACCGATCAGACAGCCAGATGTACCGCACGGGTACTTGACTCTCAGCTCGAACAAGAGAGAAAGAGAGTAAAAAAGAGAAAGAGTACTCGCGCGCGGCTTTAACCACTCGATGAGCACAAAACTGTCGGACGGACAGGCCCTACTACTGCATCGAACATATTACGTTCGGAGCTGGTGGAACAAAGCTACGCCATTGTTTCGTGCCGTCAATAATCCACTTGCCCTGACTTGGAGGACCGACCGGAGGCGAGCTGGGGGCCGGCACAATTGGAAAAAGCGCCGTGGAAACCGGGAAACCGATGCCCCACGGGGTCCATCCTACGGTAAGAAAAGGCAAGACGATCGAAGCCTTCGATTCTATCGTCCTCGACGATGCTGAGCACGAACCAACCACTCGCTGATCCAGATTGCAAGAGCTTCCATCTCTTTTATTCTTTCCTTCGTGATCACGAGCCGGATTTACGAGGCTCCTTTCTATCGGTCGACTGATAGTCTTTGTTTGGCGGAATATTTTATGGTGTGGAGTTTGTAACAAGGAGCGACCATCGTCGATTTTTTGGTTCGAACGAGAATCCGAAGATTGGAACGTCGAAACGTATAGAATTTGAGGTGAACGAGAAGGGAAATTGTGGTTTTAATTCAAGTGGAATGTTCAAGAATTTTCTTGCAATTTAAACGTCGTAGAATATTCGAAATATTTGGAATTTCGAAACAACGAGAAAGAAACTGAAGAACTAATGAAGTTTGGTTAAGAAAATTAAAGTGAGAGACGTCTGGTTCGGTTCCTTGTCTCGCGAAAATTTGTAAGAAAGATGAATCGTTATTCGTTAGAAATCTCGTCCATTGAATAGAAAGGTCAAGTTTGAGGAATTTGGCAGAGGGATAATTGAAAGACCGAGGAAGTTAGATGGTCTAATTAAACGAGAAGATTTTTTAAAGAATCTCTTGCGAAGCTTTCTAACGAAGATGAATTATTATATAGTAATGGTTTCTTTTTTTTTTTTTTCTTTTTTTTTAAGTGAGAATAAGCAAAACTGATGAAGTTTAATTAACAAAATTAAAATGAAAGATTCTTTATTTAATGTCTCGTGGATGTTCGTAAGAAAGATGAATTATTATTTTACTGATCTTCTCTTAATCGAAGTAAAAGAGTGCGGTAGAACGTCGAGAAAATTAGGGAGACACACGAGGTTTGTTTAGCAGAATGGCTGGAGAAGGACTATAATTGGATTTGGATTTACGTTGATTTCAGAATGTAGAACACGGTGTACACTTGGCGATTTCGGGGCACACTGTTTGGTCCATGTCCGTTTCACTCGTTGTAGTCCAAATTTAGCTGTCACGTAATGAAGAACACAGCGAAAGCCAATTTCTGTTTCCTATACTGCAGCATGAAATAAGAGTCGACGCTACAATTCTACTCCAATTTCGTTTAAGAATCCAAACACGAGATGGAACCACCTTTCTCTACAAGAGAAGCGCAATGCTTCTTTTTCAACATTCCAATTTTTCTCTCTGCAAAACTTCCTTTGATCCAACCGGGACCCCCTCAAACGTTGAAATAAAATGCTGAAAAATTGCTTCGAAGCGCCAAGTAATATATTTCGAACAAATATTCGTCGCGATCAACAATAAGAAGATTTTTAAGATATACAGATGAAAAACGAAGGTAGAATACGAAATTCGACTATCGATGGAAAACAAAATTTACATGCGGCGTGTTGAGCATCGCTTGGTCCTACCTGACGCCAAAATTATCCACGACGAAACGCTAAGAAAAACGGCAAATTAATTAACCGTGCGCCAAGGAGAAACTGGTCTGGTCCAGCAGATGCTACTGGGTAAATATGGCGGGCGGTTAGATATCGGTCCTGGCCGAGAAACGACTCTAAGCGGCGGCAATCGAATGATTAAAGGCGGTTTCGCCTGGTTGCGTCGGATAGGGCGAAATTCCCGACGGAAATCAGAGTCGCTGGCCATCCAGCCGTGTTCCCTCTTTCTAAGCGCCAACGTACCAACCAACCAACCAACCACCCACACCCTCCGATCCCCTCTTGTCATCCTTCGGGAGCTATCCTCAAAGCCAGCCGCTCCTTCTAAACCCTCCGACAGCCGGGTCCCTCTTGGCAAACATCCAGCTCCGCCACGGAATCCTCCGCCGCGGATACCGAAGAGCTCAGGTGTAACCGAGTTGTACCCTGGGATGGTCGCGACTTCGATACCAACTTCGCGAAATCGAAGGAAAAAGCGACTAAGACGAGCGACTGAGGTTTCTTCGACGAGTTTTTGAAGATCGAACGAAGTGGTTGGTTTTGGGCTTCGAGGCAACAACGAGGGTAGTTGGGATTCTCGAGGTTTTCAAGCGACTTTTTCTTTGAAAAATGAGCGATCGAGTGACAGAATATTGGGAATTTAGAAATATCGTCGTTGGAGAAGTTCCGAGTTGGGAAGCAAAGGAAGAAAAGGACAGATCTCTCGGGGAATTATCGAAAGTCGAACGAAGCAGCTTTGGTTTGTGGTCTGGTAATGAGAAGGACATACGATCTTTTGGTACAGGCGAAGATTTGCACTTTGGAGGTTTGCAGAATATTTTCTTTTAAATTAAGGCAGAATGTTTGCGCATCCTCATCGTCCATGACGGAATTTTGAAATCACACAAAAATTAAGGGAAAATCTTTCAAGGCCGTTCGAAGTAGAACGCGAATGACTGAATTCTGTGTGGTGTGTGGAACGAGTTTAATTTGCACGTTCTGAACACGCCGTTTAGTTAGTTCCACGCGTCGGGGATGCAATAAATGCGGCGAGCGCAAATACTAGAGCAAGCAGAACACACAGCGAGCCGGGGCGGCTTGTAAAAAGTAAACGTGATTTCAAAATGCAATTTCTGGCAGATACGATGAAACACAATGTTTTATTAGTTTCCTCTTTGTCGAAGCGTAAGATCAAAATTAAACCTGGAAAAAAAATATACAAATGTAGCTTAATTTGAACGAGCTGAGTTCTGTAAACACTTTATATGCTGCTTGATTTAGAAATTATATCGTTCCTATCTCGTCCTATCTTTTTAATCATCTGTGATTAAAGAACCAAGAGCTACGCCGTTCTCGAATATTTCACACTCAACCTATTAACTTAACAAATTAACTTTTCAATGTAAAATTCAGCGGTTGATAATACAGACGATTCTCGTCGCGTTCTCTTCTATTTTTCATCCTTATGGACTATCACGAGTGAAATATTCGCGATAATTTCACAATTTATCAAAAATTAAGAAAATCGATAGCGAAACAAAAACGATCCAGACCAAATGAACGCAGACGCGAATATCCAACGATACAACGAAAATCTCTGAAATAATCGCACGATAAGGGACCAACTTCCGGAGAACGATGTTGGCTTGACTTATTCTCGTGTGATTCCCTATGTTTCCTCCTGGCCAATTCTGGCGACCGGTTGACCCATTAACGAAAGCAAGAACTAGAAGATCAAGATGGTACGGAAGTCGATCCTCGTCTACGATCTGCTGAGGAGCGAACAACCGCCAGACGGTTTCACCGAGAAGGAGATCGTCGAGCAGATCAGTGCCAAGCACGACATCTTGGCCGGAAAGGCACTTCGGAAGCAGGTAGCCGTGGCGCTTCGTCGTGGCGTCGATTTTGGCATCATCGCCAAGAGGAATAACAGATTTAGGTGATTGTAACAATTTTTTAATCGAAACAACGAATAAATCTATTGGTACAAACCAACCTTCCTTGCAAAATTATGTAAATTTATAAAAAAAAAAAAACGTTATTCTCTACTTGATTCTTTTGCAAAATGTAAAACACAGGGAAACATAGGAAACTTTATTCTGGATAATTGTTATGAAGAACTGAAATCTTAAGAATTATCCGTTTCGTTCATTGTTCGTATCAGATATAAGGTTTTATATTGATTCTAAAATCGCTCGGAGATTGTTAAATATTTTGTTGGTTCTCAAACATGGAAATTTTACTATCAGGAGATTCATCTTGCGTCGTTTTCTTTCAACGAGCACAGATTCGATCTGGACAATGCAAAACTTAGTACCGCCAGACGCGAGACTTCATCTCGTAGGAACAGGAGTCGAGGGAAAAATAAGGTTCGAAGTGTTAAGAGGAGGACGAAGTCGAGACAACGACCGAACAACACGAGAAGTAAAAGCCGCAATCAAAAACGACCGATACAACCGCCAAATTTGCCAAAATCGTGGACACCGAACAAAAGAAACTTGGCTGACGAGCCACTGTCCAAAGTGAAGAAGATTTAATTAGCTATCAACTTTTTTCGCGTAGTTGTGTTTCATAGAAACGTTCTTCAAGCATATTTTAATAACTTTTTACTCCGATTTTTCTTTTACATCTAGTGATTACTATCAACTTCTGAATTTTATTGTATTTGAAACTATTTTATTACAGAAAATTGTACTTTTTACACGCAATAAAATTCCTATGACCTTTTTATCGTTTTCTATTCACTCGAATCACAGTTGTTACCAAGTGTGTTAATATGACGATTACAAATCGAAATATTAATTAACATAATTACATTCTGACTACTCTGCTATAGAATGATATTTGTTGTAATTATTATTGCTATTACTAAAAAATATTCCCGATTTCTATCACTGGGAAATACAATTAGCGAAAACTTCTAATACTTTCAATTATAATCATAGCAAACTATCGTTGTCCCAGTTGAAACAATTGCAGACTTTTATTGGTCTGAATTCTAATCGTTTCTCTACATCGTAAATTGCACCAACTTTCGATTCTCGTAATAGCACCATCGACAGCCACGTTTCCTCACTCATCGATCACTTTTCAATACGAAAAATCTCCACCTACAAACTTGCAGCAAAAAAACCCCTCCAAAGAAAAAAATCTCAGAATCTAAGGTCGATCAAAATCCATTCCCATGAAATCCACCATCCGTGGTCAGAATTCAGATCCTGTTAGGCGAAACTGGTTCAAACGCAGCGACCGACTCGTGAACTCGTAATCTTTCCAGTGAAATGATCGAAAATAGGTAGAGCCTCGTATCTTCGGAACGTTTCAGGGTTCCGCTGACCGTTCATCGATTAGATACAGCCACTACGTACCTTCGATCCCTCAAAGGCTCGGTCTCGAAGACTGACCGGAGATTTTCCAACGAGTTTCCATTAGAAGGGTGGTCTGGTAAAAATATCGCGCAAAACCAAGCCGGATATACCATGAAAATCGCGTAGGATCGGCCGAACGAATCGTTTGAGACGTGTTCGAGGTTGGCAGCACCTGTTACCGAAGCAACGATTAGGATGGATTTGGAGTTGCTATTCCCAGGTACTGGGTTGCAAGGTGTTGCAATTTCCAACGTCAGAGCTATTAAATATAGATTTATGCCAAGGATATTAGAACGAAAGCTACATGAAAAGGATATATCCAGTCCCTGATCATAAAATTAGCAGCATTAAGAGCTTTCGGTATTATTCATTTTTTGTAGCTTTGTTTTGCATAGTGCGACAAGGGTATATTTTATTACAGCGGATATATTTTAGTAAATTTCTTCCATAAGCTTAATCTACCTACTAGCTGCGTAATTTAATTTTTCAATTAGTATTCCAAGGCTGATTTATGGTATTTATCGTACAAATGAAAGCAGATTGTTGAAACACGACAATAAAGGAATAGTAAGTGAACGTGTAGTCGGTTACCTGGTCTATTGTTCAAAGATTGCGCATGGACTAATATATGAATCCCTGTTGAGGGTCGATACCCAAAGGGCGACAAGGTGTGCTTGTAAAACTGCGGATGACCACCATATGTTCAATTACGTGCAATCTGTCGGCCATTTATGACTTAACTGTACGATAATCGCAGGTTTTACAGGTAATCAGGGATATTGGCGCAAAAAAAGGGACGAATTCTTCGAGGTAACATTATACTGAAAATAGTTTCGCCGGAGTTCTTGAAAGCTAGTTACGAAAACCAAAGGAAGAGATAGATTCGTACTCGTTTCACTAACTAATTTTATGCTTTACATTTTGTAACTATTATTTGAATATTTTTTGAAAACTTATTCGAATAACATCTGGTTTCATTGTCTGTAAAAGAGCGAGGGAAATATATTTGAAATGGCAGAAAAAGAAGAAAAGCGTCACTTTTTCCATTCCAACTCCCTCTAACTTTTATTGTTCGACAATCAAGCACCATTTAGAAGACTCTGCTCGTTCTCTACGGCAAACCCCCAGTTTTGGAATCTTTGTTCCATCGTTTTCGACACACCTTGCGACAATAAGGTCTGTTTAATATGCGTCCCGAACGGAAAAGGACGCGTGTCGCAGGTGTTTCACGTTCCGACTCGATTTTTCAATAGACCGGGACACTCGCTGTGTTTCTTGACACGTGTCACCGCGCGAAATGCGGAGGATCCACTTCCGGTTTCTCACGGAAGTACCGTTTTTACCGATAAAGGACATTCTGCCACTCGCCCTTCGTGTCCTTTTAACGACTCTAATCACGATACGCAAGTAATCCTAATTTATGTTATATTTATATTAATATATGTAATAACATATTCAGGAATTAATTAGAAAACGTACGTATTGATAATTATACGACTTTCTACTTTTAAATCAGATTCAATTGCGTAATTTGTCATTTCGCTGCAATATGAAAGCAACTTGAGAAACTTGCGTCTTAAATTTCTGATACTGCGAGAACGATAGGTAGAACCGATGGAAAAACGCATCGTGATAAAGAAAATAAGATTTACGTGCCAATACCTTTGTAGTCACTGTATATACGTAAATTTGATTCTTTTCACGTACTTGTCGAAATGGACATTAGTTCGTCAGAAAACGCGTTCGCTTCGACCATAGCCTGACACGTTAATAACGTGAACTCGCACGATCACACGACCCAAATTCAGTACGCACTCGATACCATTCGATTTCGACGATAACAGAAGAATCTCGCCCCTCCTGTGTATCAGCGAGCAAAACGGTTTCGCGAAAACAAAAGTGGAGGGTTGGTACAAAGAGGTGGCCGATCGTAAACGTCGATATAATCGGCCCGATAGAACGATTCCATACGTGTGACGAGGGCTCGTGCGAGGCTAAGTGTTCGTCGAGGGTTGGCCAACACAAAGACGCCCAGGCCTTGCGTCGTTTCGTGTCGAGCTAATTAGGAAGTTTATTGTTACGTAGAAGGGCCGTCCTATTGGCGTCAAGCGTGATATATTACCATCTCTTGCTTTCCTCCGTTCGTTTCCAGTTTTATTCGTGCCTCGTTAGTCCAATGTAAACATAGAATAGTTAGTTATATCATAGCTATTAGCCGATAATGTTTAATGTGACTCGAAAATACGAGACGGATTGATCACGTTCGGGGACAGATTTCGTAAATTTGGACACGTTGGGAATTATTTGAACAATTTTCATGGCATCGTTTGGATCACGTTTAACACTAGAAATACCACACCGGTCAAAATGACCGGTTCTACAATTTTATAAATGTGTCAACCCTCGTTTAGGGGTCATGGTCCTAGATGGATTAATAATACCAAAGATGTACTACATAACATGGAATTGCTTCTGTAAGGAAGTAATAAATCAATAAATATGAAAATATTTTACGTATCTTTTAAAGACCAGTCGTTTCGACTGATTTTGATAGAAATAGTTTCGTGTTAACAATCGGTAGTTCTAGCGTTAAACGTGACACACGAGGAGAATTTGATATCGTGGCAGGAAGCTGCGAGTATTCTATGTATTAAGACCAAGTTGATTGTATTTTCATCGAGTCTACCTTTCATCTTCATATTTCTAAAAACTTCTGTTCTTTGAAACGCAGAACCAAATTGATCGACTCCAGTTTTTATAAATTTCTCGATTTCATCATCCAGACACGTAACTACCATCGTATAACTTCTCAAATTATTTTTACTTTCATTAGTTTGCGATACATAAGCAATCGTAAAATCCAAGAAAATTTAAAAAATTCTTTAACACTCGTCACCTCCTTCTTCATTTTCTCATTTATAGAATCGATCAATGTGGCTTCGATTCCGTCTCGGGATATCTAACAATGTTTATATAGGTCAGTATCTTGAAACAAAGTGGACAACCCGGATTTTATGTCGACTTACCAAAAATTTCGAAAATCTTAGAAAATCGTCAGTAACTCGGAAACCACGAAAACGGTAAGCGATATTTCATGGGAGCAGGTACTCGAACGAGCGTAGCCTTTCCGCAAGTTGCCGTAGATGTTGAAATTTCATGGTTAGGAACGTGAAACGGATAACGCGAACACGGTAACAACGCGTTTCTTGTGGCGAGCAACGTCTGACATCTGGGCCGACGTTATCTCCGCGTTATCATTTTTGAGATTAGCCTTAGTAGTCGCGCGTTTGCTTTGCACCGTGCTGCTTTCTCTGTGTACCCTGGCTGTATCGCTGTTCTGCCACACCGAACTCCCTCCCATCCATCGGTCGTTAAGCTACGTTCACAGAAGATCGGACGAAACGTCTGCGAAGAACTTCCTGTCGAGGTTCACGAATTGTTTCCGGTGTTTGTTCACTGCAATCTTCTATTCTGTATGCTCTACGCAATACGTTTGGTATTTTTCAGGAATGACTCGAGAAACTCAGTACAATAAAAAAGTTCTTTTGCGGCATTCTGGAGATGATTCGACCGATTAAATTCTACATATTAGGCGTACATACTTCTGCTAACAAGGAACTATACTTTGCAACTTTTTTCTCAGTGAACTCTGCGTAAAATATTTAGAAGCTTCAAAGAATAATTCAATGGATTTAGTTTAACTATTTTGGTAATGGTTTATATTATGGAAAATTTTAGTTTCAATATTTCCAATGATTCGTCGATATCAATGTATTTCAGAGGTTTCCTCGATCTTCTCGATCTTTTGTTAAAGAATTTTCTGTATTTTATATTTTAAGGATATGCTGTATTTTCGTAACGTTTATCCGTAATATATTTTTTAGAAACGTTATAAGGATCGTGAATTTGTTAAATGATAATTTGCTTGTGAACGGAGCTTTAAGTCGAAGAAGGGCGCAGCGGTATTCACGCGCATCAGCGAGACTAAGAAGAAGACTATCTGGTGGATTTTCCGTCATGAGAATGCGATAGCGTTCCTGGCTGAGCAAACATCAGCGCTCGTGAAGGGCCATGGTTGCGTTTAAGCAATTGAGGACGAGGTGTGCTTGTGGGAATTCTTCTTAAATATCGTTTAATAATCGTACGTGATAACCAAAATCCACTATCTAAACCAAGACTCGATAAAAACGTCGGGCTACAAATCTTATGGCATATTCATCTTCGCGATAAATTATTGCAATAACCGACTACAAATTTCATACCTT